ATTTTACAAAGTTTACCGGGGCACCTTTGATTTCTTCCACCTCAATGCTGCTTGGATTTATTTTTGGCAAACTGAAGGTATGGGGTTGCATCTTGCTTCCATGTCTTTTCATTTTCTATTTTTAAAATTTGTTTTCTGTGATGCTTGTTATTTGCTTATGTTAGGCAGCTTTAAATAGCATTAAGACTTTGTTACCAAATAACTACTTTTTAGCAGTGTCTTCTAGGTATAGCCAGCTTTTGTGTGTCCCAATATCCTGCCTCTTCAATTTATTGTTTGGGATGAGGGGTCCTAGCACCCTATTCTTTGTTACTGGACTATGGTATTATTTATAACACCTAGACAAAAATCAAGTGAATTGGGAGCCAAAAATGTAGCCTAATTTTATGAAACCTATAAAACCATTCATTGCTTTGTGTTAGTTTATTATGTCAAGAAAGTGATTTAGATGTTAATGTCCTTTGCATCTATAAAATTCTTTGATTATTTGATTGCTTAAAGAATGAAAGTATTTAGGATAGATTTATGTTGGGGAAAGAAATCACAATATGGCCAACCTCTTGCAAGATGATGAGAGCACTTCTTGACATAATTTGAGTCTTTTATTGTTTATTTTTTATTAGTATGTTTGCAGTACATGATTATATTTATCTTGGGGAGTTGATATAAGCACACATCTTAATTTAAAATAATTTCTGATTCATCATCAGGGCATGAGGTTTACTTCATCAGGACAAACTCAGGTTACATTTATATCCTGTTTTACATTAGCTAGTTCATGGTTAACCTATAAATAAAATTCTAATCCATTTTAAAAGATTACATGTTTACGTAAAGAAATGCCTGTGGGCAGTCCTTATACTTACAGGACTGAAGTCTATTTCCCACACAGGTCCTAATATAAATAAAATGGCTACCTTATCTTGTTTCAATATTTTCTCAAGATTTGTAGGGGTAATTTAAGAATAAGTGGGATCTCACTGAGAGTAAAAGAATGATACACAATTAGAATTTATGTTAGAAGAGGAATTATAGACTTTTCATATAGCCATTTGAGATCTTTCCAGGAAGCATAGTTTTCATAATCATAAAATAGTAACAGGACATTTTTAGCAAACTTCACCCAACTATAAGAATTTAAGCTTTTGAAGGAATAGAGGTGTATTTTTACTCATTCTAAAACATGAGTTAAGATGCACATTACAAAGATGCATTTTCTAAATAGTATCTGAATGTCTAGTTACAGAGAATCTAGTTGGTATTTCAATTTTTTTTTTTTTTTGGTCTTTTTCCTTTTTATCGGTACTGGGAATCGAACTCACGACTGCCTGCTTGCAAGGCAGGTGCTTATGCCGCTGAGCTAAATCCTCAGCCCCAGTATTTCAAATTTATATGCCAAAAAATAGAAAGTAAGACTGAAAGTAATTCTACTTCAAATATATTTAAAGTTAAATACAATAAAGTTTCATTTTTCCTGACTGTATTAGCCAACAATACACAATGAAAGCAAAGCATGGATTTATAAGAACATTTTTTTTTCTCCTTCACTTTGCCTTGCCTTTCAAAAGCAACAAGATAAAACAGTTTCTATAATTTCTAAAACAGTTTGTATAATTTGGACCCAAATTGTAACTACTGAACTGTTAGCAATGAAAGATTTTTTTTTTTTTGGCTGTTTCAGAGGTTTCGGTCCAGTCTTTGGACCTGTCACCTTGGGTCTGTGGTGGTACAGCATACCATGGTAGAAGCTTCCTGTACAGGAGATGCACACCTCATGGTGGGGATAGGAAATGAAAGAGAGGTTGGGGGGCCTGGGGATTTAGCTCAGCAGCATGAGTGCCTGCCTTGCAAGTGCGTGGTTGTTAAGTTTGATCCCCGTACCAATTAAAAAAAAAAAAAAAAGAGGTTGGGGTTCTAATAATACTCCCTTTGAGGATATGCTCCTGATAACCTGATTTCTACTAAGCTGTACCATCTAAATGTTTCGCCTCCCAAAAAACCCTGCAGGCTGATAAGCAAGTGTTTAGCACATGGGAGTTTTGGTAAACATTTAAAGATCTAAACTATAACATGAAGTGATAATAAAAGAAAAAAATGTAAACTTAAAAAATAAAAAGTAATGATACCTGATTCACTGGAAGTGGGTCACCCACAGACATTAAGCTAAAAATAAAGTCTTCTAACCCACTTTGTTAAGATATCTTAAATTCTAAATTCTTTTGCTTTTTTTTTTTTTAAGACAGTCTATGTAGCTCAGGCTCCACTTGAACTCTCAGTGATCCTCCTCAGCATCCTAACTGCTGGGATTAAGGCATGTACCCAGCTTGGCTTTTTTTTTAAGAATTAAGTTTCACTGTAGTTCCATATTCAATTAGAAAAACTATTACTCCAACATTTGTACGGTCCCACTGAAAGGAATACATTCCCTATGAATGTACAGGGTATGAATGTATGAATGAACAGGGTAATCAAGAGTTCTAACTTTTCTAGTATTTTCTCTGCCACAAATTAGCCATACAACCATCGACAAGTCATTCTCTCCAAACATCAATTTTAAGCTTCCATAAAAACTGAATGTAAGTTCCTTGAGATTCACAATTGTGCAATGTCCCTTAAAGAGAATTGCTTTTAAAATACAAAGGCATGTGAATCTTAAAAAGTTAACTGCTTTTAAAATATAAAGGAAGGCATGTGAATTCTAAAAAGTAACATATTGAGTTTTAACTAGTGAATTAAAGAATTTAGGGTACTGCTATGTGTCTGGATGTCCCCCAAAAGTTTCATCAGATAACGAAGGTGGGCTTTTTCAGAGGCAGCTGAATCTAGTTTGTGATTGGTTCATTGTCTTGTGCTGGGATTGGGGGTATGAGTGCTACACCCATGCTAGGGTCAGTAGCCTGCACACAATATAAGGAAAAAAACGTTTGTTGCTCCTTTTTCTGGTCTTGTTGCTTTTGCAATCATCCCCTGCCATGAATTGTTGCCCTTCTGCCATGCCACCCTGCCTTAGAGTCAACTGATTATGAACTGAAATCTCCACAAACTCGAAGTAAAATAAACCTCTCTTTCCCTAATTTTGGGCACTGAATATTTTTTCTTAGCAATGAAAGAAAAGTAACTAAGACAGGCACTAACAAAGTGATGATCCCAGGTAAATTTAAATTGACAATGCTCTGCTGAAAAACCATGAGCTTTTTGGTTGCCTTCTTGCCATTCACTATTCTAAGGAATCTCTTGGTGACAAACTTTTTACAATAGGGTCTATCTTTAGCCCTACAGCCCTTTAACCCTACTAAAATTTATATTTTAGTAAAATATAAATTTCGGTTTCAAGGCTGGTAAGACTTTTGAAATATTTTAGATCACTGTGAATGGTTGTTTAGCAGATAGCAACAGGTCATGAGAAATACTTACTTTTCATTTCTTCAGATACAACTGAACTTAAAGTGAATTCAGTGTATTTCTTCTTTTTTCTCAACCCAAATAAAATCTTTACTAGACACAAAAACTGTTTTCTGGTGTTTGAGACAGCAATCCACCTTGTGATTTCCTACAATAGCTTAAAAATATACTATGAAGTTTTTGAGATTGTTTAAACCTAAAGCAATATAATTTTATTTCTTAACTTTCTTCCTCATAGGACTGAGTCATATTATTGTACCTGAAATAATGTCCAAACTAACTTTGTAGTTCATAGTCCATACTAATGAAAAATGGACCATTCTCTGAATAAAGGTAAGTGTTTAATCCTACAATTCTTTAAAGTATAAGGTTTTAGTTAAAATAAAAAAATTCCAATTAGTGGGGAAAAAACGATAGCCATACCTCTCATTTTTTAAACATGTATTTCATTTCATTCCCAGTAACAATTATAAGAAATAAGCTTTATTATTTTATTATGAAATGAGGAAATAGGATGAGGTTATTAAAATCAAATTCATAACTAGTTTTTAACCTGTCACTGTGTAAGTAAAACAGGACATTTACACTGTATATTTTGTGAACTGGTACCAAGTGTTTAGTAGTTTTTGTTGTCCAGAACAATTGAGAAAAAGTTTAACTGCACTCGTGATGAAAACTACTTATGCTTACAGAAAACATCAGTGTATTTGAGGATGGGTTACCCTAAACAGAAACAGAAAATATCTGGAGCCCTATGACTTAACACATGCACTTTCTAGGGTAAAAACAGGTTAGCTGAGCCTATTTTGGTTAGCTCCCCCTTTCCTACGGACTCTTGTGGGGTTCAACTTCAAGCAGGAGGCAAATTAATTAATTATAATTGAAATGACAAAGAGCAAACTTCCCCGGAACACAAAAAGGTTTATTTTTACAGATACAAAAGCGAAATGAGTATCAGACAAGTGTGATCTCTGAGCAGCACCCGAACTTCCAGAGTAATGGGTGAAGCCCACTCTCCGACGCTCTTCTCTGGTGGCCCCGCGCCCGCGCCCGGTCGCCTCGTCGGTCTCAGGGCCCCGCCGCCCTTCCCGCCTCGGGTCTGGTGGCGAAGTAGTGGGTGACGACGCCCGTCGAACAACAGGCCCCACGACTGGGGCGGGCGCGGAGGAGCACTCGAGCCAGGTACCCCGTCTCCCACACCTCGGCTGGCCGCTCCCCCTTGTCTCCCTCCACCCTGCCGCAAACTCTGTGAGGCAAACCAGGACCTCCGCCATCGTGCGCCACCGTGGCTTTCAGGAGCTCCTCAAACGCCTGAGCTCCCTCACCGGTCCTCTTCAAGGGCCCCCTCGGGTCTTGGCGGTTAACCACGCTTTCTTACCTCTCCCTAGACCAGCTTCTCCCGAGGGGAAACAAGGGAAGCCGGGCCTCGGCTCGCTTCCGCCCGCTGCCACTGCTGCCTCCACCACCGCCACCGCCGCCGCGCCCACCGACCGCGGCTCCCGCTCCGCCCCCTCCCAGGCTCGCGCTCCGATGGGGCGGGGCGGGGCGGGACCGGGCCAACAGCTGCGGTGCGCATGCGCACCGAGGGCGGTGTCTGCGAGCCTAGAACCGGAAACTTAAGAGACAAAGTTTTGCGTCCCACCCCCGTCGCGCGCTCCCTCGCCATCTCGCCTAGCACTGTTGTCCCGCTGCCTCTGGCCCTCGAGTCGGCCGGCCCTTGCGCGTGTACTATGTCTGGCTCTTCCAGCGTCGCCGCTATGAAGAAAGTGGTTCAGCAGCTCCGGCTGGAGGCCGGGCTCAACCGCGTGAAGGTGAGCGGGCGGCCGCGGGGGAGGGCATGGCAGGGAGGCGGCGGGCGGGACTGCGGCGACTCGGGCTTCGCGGTGGCCATCGGGGAGCGGCCAGCGTTAAACAAGCGGCCGAGCCAGTCGGCCCGTGTGTGTGTGTGGGGGGGGGTGGCGAGCCCTCCCTTCCGCCCCGAGCTTTCCGCCGCGGGCCGGCTCGAGTGCTGAAGGGCGGCGGGCAGTCCGGGGCTCCGCCCGCCCGCCTCTGCGCCACTTGTCGGCCTGTCCTGCGGCCGCGGCCCCGCGCCTCCCCTCCCCCTCTCTTTTTCCTTCCCTCTCCCTCCCTCCCTCATTTGCCAGCCTCGCCTCTGCTCGGCACTGCACTGGGTGTTTTCCGACTTCTGATACTTGATTTGGAACAGACTTCTTTCTTGATTTTAAATCTTTACCAGAGTTACTCCCATTAGTAGTAGATGGCCTCCAGATCCTCCCTCCTAACATGGAATGAATGGTTTTTATTTATTTTTTACAGTGCGGTGCATTATGATGATACTCCTTGTGGGAGTTGGTGCTTGTACGTGACACGTTTCGTACTGTTTTCGTGCCTTGTCTCTTCTTCTCGACTTAATTCACATTTGAGAAAGATCTTACTGCTGATTATCTTTTATTTTGCTCCAAATATTTTTGGATTTCTTAAGAGAAACCACGCATTATTTTAAGGACTGAAAATTAAATCAATACTAAGTTTCCATCTTACTCTAGAAAGAATAGCCGTCATTAAGAAATCAAATAACAAAATAATAAGTGCTGGTTGTGAGGCTGCCCTTCTGCATTGTTGATGGGAAAGTGAACCAGTCCAGTTACTGGAAATCATTGTGGAGATTGCTCAAAAAACTAAAACTAGAAATTCTACCTAACTTGTCCCTCTTCCAGATATCTTCCTAAAAGAATTAAAGACGTATTACAGATGAAGTGAATTCTCACATAATTTAAGTTATGCATAAAAAAGAAACATGTATTTTGCTAAAAGTTCCTGGAGTGTCAGCTTACCACTCTTACCTCATACAGCCTTGAACAAAGCATTCATTTCATTTTTTTGGAGCGTTGTTTACTTGGTTGGTACTGACCTTGGGGGATAGCTGGTGATTCACTTGCTTAACAGTGATTAGGATGGGCCATTACTGGTCTCTCTTACTTTGGATTTGGTTATTAGCATTGCCTATGTCTTGGGATATTTACTTTTGAGGAAAAAGCCTTTTGTCTATATTGACTGACAACTTAACATTCAAATGCTCTTCCAAGCGTTCATTTAAAAAATCATGATAAAGTTGAAACCATTTATTTCTTAACTGTTAAGTTTTCATTTATGCGTGCCAGGAAAGTGGGGCGGGGAGGGCTAGAGAAACAAGAAAAGGGTAGTGAAAGCAGCTGTAAAAGTGGTAGCTCTTAGCCCTTGTTGCCAAAAGAAATGAGATGTCGTCAAACTAAAGTACAAGTACATACTGGAAGAGCTTCACCTTCAAAACCCTAGTTGCTGTGTTCCCAACTGCCCAGTCTTAACCCTGTTGTCTGCTCTTATTTCTCCTGTAGGCTACTTAGGACTACTAAAAACAAAAACAAAAAACAGAAAAACAAAAAAACGCTACAAATGATTCGAATTTGGGCTTCTCATTTTGTGCCTGTTAGAGCTGTGGCAAGGAGACTTGGGATTTTAAATGTTTTCTGTAGACATACTACTAAATGTGATTGGGTTCCACTTCACAGTGTGCATTATTTTATCTGTGCTTTTGTGCTAGGTGCTTTTTGGTGACATTTTAAAACTTAGCACAAGCATACAATGTTTAAACCTTTATATCTGAATGCACTTGACAGAAATTATCACAAGTGCTCAGTGAACCCTTCTGTAGGTAAGTCAGGGTACTTTTTGAGAGTGAAAGGGGAACTTTTATGCCAGACTTACATTTTTAGCTTCCTGGTTAGTGATTATCATCATGTCTCGGGGGCTAGTAGCTTGTCCAGTTTGGATCTGTCTCAAGTTTCCCGAACTGTTTGAAATACTGTTTTTCTCTAATGGTGATTTGGTTTTATCAGTTACTGAGCACTCAGCTTAAATGTCAGTGCAGACGTCTTCCTCAGGTAGCCATTCAGTTACCATTTAGAAAATCACTTTTTTAACTGCAGTCTTTTTTCCTCAACTGTCAAGTCCACAACTTGTCTTAGTGTTAGTGATGGAAGTACATCTGGCACATAATGGTGCTTGAAAAATACGTGAAAAGCAGTTATATTGGACACTGCCTACAATTTTTTTATTTTAAAGAAGTAAAAGAGGAAAAAAAAAAGAAAGGTAAACAATGAAAGTTTCAAAACAGGTTGGATCATTAAAGTAGTTGATACATTATGTATTTGTAGTTGTTCAGAGTATGAGATATAGGCATATCTTGTCCTAACATTACACAAAACATTCTTCTCAAGGAACTAAAAGAATCTAGGTGTATAATTATCTTGTGTATACATGTATTTTTTCCTTTTCCATTTCTTCCTTTCTCTTGTCCCCCATCTCTGTCTTTTCTTTTGAATAGTTTCTCCCTAATGTGCACATCTTGTTTGTTCATTTTTTACCCTAGTGAGATAATATGATGATTATACATACTGGTGTGATTAATTTCACTTACCAGTAAGGTCTCACATTACATCCATTTATCTTTAAAAAGTTTCAAGTTTATCTTTATGGCTGAGTAGTACTTCATTATATAAAAAAAAAACCACATCTTTTTTTATCCATTTCTCGGTTGTTGGGCATCTAGGTTACATCTAAGATTTAGCTATTACAAATTATGTTGCTATGAACCTGGTGCAATAATCATAGTGGTATGATGTTTTTAATTCGTCTGGGAAGATATCCAGAAGGGGGACAGCCAGTTTGAATGGGAACTTAATTCTAGTTTTTAAAGAAATCTGCACACTGATTTCCACAGTGGTTACACCAGTCTACATTCCCACCAGTGTTGGTATTTTCCTTTTCCTGCATCCCCTCTAGCATTTGTTATTAGTTGATTTTTTTTGATGCTAGCCATTCTTTCTGGGGTGAGATGGAATCTCGGTGTTGTTTTAATTTGCATCTCTTGAATAACCAATGATGTTGCACATTTTTTCATGTGTTTATTTGCCACTTGTATTTCTTAATCTGAGAAGTGCATATTCATCTCTGGATAGGGTCTTTGAATTTGGGAAGTCTGATTGTTTTCAATTTTTTATATGCTCTAGATAAAAAAAAAATTGTTTGAGGGATAATTGGCTATTTTTTCCACTCTGTGGGTTGTTTTCTCACTGTTGGTGATTTCTTTTGTTGTGCAAAAGCTTCTCAATAAAGTAAGATCCTATTTGTTGATTTTTTTTGTTCTATTTCTCTAGCTGTCTGGAAAGTTGCTGCCTAACCCTATGTCTTCAAGATTTCTGCCTGTTTTCTCTTTCAGTACATATAGTGTTTCTGTTTTAATATTTAGATCTTTGATCCATTTTGACTTTAGTGCATGGTTCTAGTCTTCAACATGTGGAAAGCCAGTTTTTCCAGTACCATTTATTAAAGAGGCTAACTTTCCTCCAGCCTGGGTACATTTTAAACAAAATTAACAGGTACTGTTTTGTATGCTTACTTCTGGTTAACATAAATGAAACCAAGTACTGTACTGTACTGTACTGTACTACACATTGTGATAACTGATACTGACCATTCTCTGCTTTAGTTACAGTTGCTTTTTAGGAGCTTAAGGTAAGAGTGTAGTCATTTGTGAAAGTACTCTGTACAAAGATGTAAAATGCAGGTACCTACAGAAGCAATAAAGCTATGGGACTCATTACCCTGGACTAGTGTTTAAGCCAAACAGACTCCAGAAGAATTAAGGTTCATTTTAGGATGATAAATTTCTTATATAAATCTGGAATGCAGCTATAATCTGCAGGTTTTTCCTTTTGGAGCACGTTTGTAAAGCTATTATCTTTTTCAAAAGTTACAGACCTAAGTATTTGGACATTATTGTACCTCCTTTGGGATAGCTAATACTATGAATAAAATATTTTTCTTGTTTTCCTCAACTTCCATTCATTTCTCTCACAGTATCATTTTTTTTTTTTAGTAGTAGTGCTTTAAAGTAGTTTGCTAGAATGTTAATGTTCCTTTTTTCTAACTTCTAATACCATAGACTTTTTAATAAAACATATTAGGTACCTGTGAGCTTGCACCTAAACAGCCTGTAATTAATAAATAAACAAGATGTGCTATTTTGTAAATAATGCTTCTAATAAAACATTAAATGTCTTACTTACAAGCAATGTTTTAAGAGCCAGTATATGAATGTTAGTCTTTAATTAGCATATGATGCATTCTTGAGGTAAGAGATGTGCTATTTATTTCAAGTTTTTCCAGGGATTTAAGAAAACCATTAAGAACCTTACCAACTGGTATTTCCTCCTTTCTGTTATGTGTAGGTTTCCCAGGCAGCTGCAGACTTGAAACAGTTTTGCCTGCAGAATGCTCAGCATGATCCTCTCCTGACAGGAGTATCCTCAAGTACAAATCCCTTCAGACCGCAGAAAGTCTGTTCCTTTTTGTAGTAAACTGAATTTTTGGGAGGTAAGTTTAACTAAAAGAAGTAATAATAGCAGGACTAACCACTCACATCTCTATTTGCAGCAGTTACAAGATCATTCTATGCCTTTGTTTGGTACTCCAAATTGCCAGTCTTAAGGGAGAGTAAGGATTGATGAAAATCATTGATTCAGTAGTTGTGAATCAATTGTTTGTCACCACAAAGACAGTTAAATAATGGGAATAAGGAAGCTACTAAAGAACAGTGCTGCCATGTGTTGTTCAGTGCTTATTGAGATGATTTTTAAGGCACTACCAATTGATTTGGGTTAATTTTGATGTTGCTGCTGTAATAGAAACCCGCTGTGGGATAATATAGCAAAAAAATTGAGAAATATAAAGCCAAGGGATATCTGAATAAGCTTGATATTCAGCATTTGGAGTGAGGAGTAAGAAGTTTTCCTTTTTATTCTAATATTTTGGGCAACAATAAAACATGAGAAACACAACTTTTTGGTGGCAAAGAGTGGACTGTACTTGAGAGGACTAAAAAAGTTTCATTAAAGCATGTTTCTATGCATTAATTGGTATTTTTCAGATCATATACCAGGTGTGCACAGTCTTACTTGTCCAAAAAGACATGTGACCCAAAAATGTGCTTTGAATGATTCAAAGATGCTTATTTAATCCTTTGTATTTAGAGTGTGACTCATTAGTACTGAAGTATGAAGCAAACTAATAGTGCTTTAAAAAGATTTTGCATATGACACATACCCTTTACTAACATTATGACTTGAAAAGTCCAGGAGACTGCTTCCTAAAATACCTCGTTACATAGATGTACCCTCCCTAAGTAAGCTTTGTAGATGCAAGTATCCAGGAAGTCTCTTAAGTACAACATGGTCCCAGTAAACACAACACAAAATTGCTAAAAGATGGCAGAATATTTTTAAACACTTAGACAAGTAAAGTTTTTTTTCTTTTTCTGTGGACAGGGTCAGCTGTAGTTAGCTAGCCTTAAAATAAATATGTATTATACACACACACACACACATGTCTATATATATGTATGTGTATTTATCTATCTCAAACTGACCTTGAACTCTGCTATCCTCATGCCTCAGTCTCATGAGTGCTGGATGTGTGCCATCCTGCCTGGCAAAGAAATAATCTTTTTAATAATCTAGCACCTTCATATCTATCAATGTATTTATTTCCTTGATTCTGGCAAATACGCATTTTTTCATGGGTGTTTTCAGAAATTTCATGGTTATAGTTTATTCTTTTTAAACCTCAGTTCCTGTTGTATTCACTTTACAAAGTGATATATTTTCATTTGTCTTAAAGTATTGTTAAGAAGCCTGAGCTCCTTATTAATAGCTTCATGTCACAGGAGCCTACAAAGAAATGTTCAAATGATTTGGTCAAGTTTATAACTGGGATAAGCACCCAGATTTCAAAGTAAAATATTGGGTATTAATCCCAGTAGTATAAGGAACATTTTGTGGATATTATGACTCACAACCATTTGATCTAAGGAAACAGTATTTGGGTATTAAAAATGCTTCTCAAAAACTTCAATCTGAATACCACAAGCTTTGGTTTTACATTAATACTCAGTTTTGAGGGACTGGCTGATTCACAGGAATGTAAGAATCTACATTGGTGTCTATATAAAACTGCTTTTTAAAATTATATGGCTATCTTTAAAACAGCTTAGCAACAGGCTTTTACACAAGGAAGAAATCACAGTTGGCACACTTCAAGGTAACCACTGTTAACAGATGCATTACCTTTTAAGAGGAAATTTTTAAGAATACTTTTTAAAAAATAAGAATCATAGTTCAGGCAGTTGTTTTTTGTTTGTTTTGTCTCTTTGAGACAGAGTTCCACTATGTAGTTCAGGCCGGCCTTGAACTCAAGTGATCCTCCTACCTCATTTTCCCAAGTGCTGGGATTACAGGTGTTTGCCACCATGCCTGGCCCTACATTCTTCTGCCTTTTAAAAAAAAAACCTTAATGGTATCCTATCTCATTTATTGCGCTCCCCCACCCCGCCCCCATACTGGGGATTGAACCTAGAGCCTTAGCACTGAGCTACAGCCCTAGTCCCTTTGAAGTCTATATTTTGGAATAGGTCATACAAAGTTACTCAGACTGGGCTGCAATTCATGAGCCTTAGAGCAGATTACAGGCCTGTACCACCATACTTGGCTACTAAATAAAATTTTTTAAAGAGAAAAACAATGATACAAAATTTTTAAAATAATAGAGTAATGGCGGTTCATACATTGCATATTATCTTCAAAGTAGTTGATCAAACAATACAAGTACAAAGTTTTCAGTGAACTAAGAGAAATTGGTAGGATCTCTTAACTAATATATAATTTTTGTTTTTCTTTCTATCCCACCTAAATATTCTTTATAAATAAGATTTTTACAGTTGTACCTTTAATATTTAAATTTCCAAATTTGAGGCTACAATGAGACATATATCTTGGTGTCCATATTTATATTTATACTTCACCTGTTGAGAAATTTCTCGAATTAGTCAACATGGAATGAACATTTTAAGATTTTAACAAAACTAGATAACCACTGTCACTATAAATCTTTGGTCTTCCACCAGGAATGAGTGGTTTTCTCCTGAATGCTTGCCAAACAAACTTTGGTCTGACTGCTGTTATTTTAAGTGAGGTTAAACCATTTTCATGTTTTTTTTTATTTTTTTCCTCCCATAGCAGTAATTTTCTTTATGCTTCTTAAAAGTTGTTATCTCCTACCTCAAATTTTCAAATAAGTAAAAAGGTCTGGATTAAATGCTTTTTACTTTGTTATGTTTAAATTTTTTTTTTTTTGGCACTGGGGATTGAATTCACAATCTTGCATTTGCCAAGCGGGCATTTACGTCTCTGAGCTGAAGCCCTGGCCATAACACTTCGTTAATGTTTAAACATAAAACAGATCACACTTACTCTGCTTTTCCATTCAGATAAATTATTCTTAAGTTGGTATGACAATGATTTTACTTTTTACTAAATATATTTACTGTATTTTATAGTTTTAAACTGTAAGCTTTATGTAAAGGATAAATGACTACTAGATTATTTTTGAGTTTTGTTTATCCGTAGATCATTTGCTCATTTTTTTCTTGTTTTGTTTTTGAGACATCATTTCTCTGCATAGTCCAGTAGGCTTGAGCTTGAAGTTTTTATATCTTATCCTTCCAGTTGGGTTACAGGTGTATGTGACATGCACAGTTAAATTTTCAGTCATTTAAACTGCTATATAGTTTGTATTCTATCATTTACACAAATCTTAGTTTATTATTCCTACTAAATTACATTAAGGCTGTTTCTTATATATGTTTTTTGAATAATATAAAATTATCTAGTATACAGAAGGGTGATTATATCTATTTCATGAGTTATTGTTGCCTAACTCCTTGATGTTACTCATTTTAAAAGGAATGTGCGTGGTTTTCTTGTTGAAAATTATAAGAGAATGTGTTTTGCACTAATGTTAGCAAGTTAATGTAAGTCTTATTTGTGAAACAGGTAAACATTTCAAAATAGCTATGAAAATGAAGAGAAAATTGGAATCCACCCTGCCCTCAGTATTAAGCCCAGGACTATGCACTGAGCTATACCACTTGCCCTTTTTGAGGCAGGGTCTTCCTGAATTGCCCAAGTTGGCCTTGAACTTAAGATCCTCTTGCCTTAGTCTCCCTAGTAGTTGGGTTATAGATAGAACTGTGCCGTCATACCCAGTGACAATATTGGATTTTACTGTTTCCAACACCACAGACTTTTCTGTCCTATTTCTTAGGCTTTCTTAAAAACCCTGTTATGTGTATCTCCTTTTTTAAAAATGCAGATAAAGATGCTTAATTTAATTGAAAGCATTTATAAGTTTACATTCCAAATAAATCCTTTAAAAATTAATATAGGTGCTTCTAGATTGATTAGATACATCTCAGTAAGGCCATTAAGTTGAAAATACATTTAAGACACCTAACTTACCAGATCCAGTAGCTTAGCAGCACAGTACACAGTAGAGTATGGGTTGCTAACCCTTGTGATCATGCAGCAGACTGGGAGCTGTGGTGTGCTGCCCTTGCCCAGCATCTCCACAGTGTCATACTTAATATCCCAACACATTCTGAAGTAGTTTCGTCAAATATATATGGAGTGCATGTATCTTTTACACTGTTGTAAAGCTGAAAAATCTTAAGTTCAGCTATTTTTGGGTCAAAGAATATTGGTACAAGATGTACTGTTATTTACAAAAATAGGTAGATAATGTAAGGCATTTATTTTAAAAGTTAAGAATTTATGAAGATAATCATGAAAATGTAAAGAAAATCTGTACTCTTTGAAACTTTACCCTAATTTATTTTTTTTTCCTTTTCAGTTCCTCAGACCACTTTTAACCAACCGTGACTATTCAGAAAAAAAGAAAATTGAAGCCTGTACAAAAACTTCCCCTTTCTTAACATGTGCCATAACATACACAAACTTCTACTTTTGTCAGTCTTTAACATCTACCTCTCTGAATTTTCATGAATTTCTATTTCACGAGGGTATTTTATATACACTGGTGCCAGCATACAATAAAATACTTCGTATAAAAATCTTTTGCTTTCTTAATTGGTTTGAAATACACTGTTAATCTGTTTGGAAAACTTATGTGTTTTTAGTGTTTAAGCTTTATGTTTCTCTCACCGTGACTTTATGCCTTTTGTTTTATTAAGACTGCTAGAAAATTAAAGGCAAGCACCAGGTGTGATGGTGCATGCCTGTAATCCCAACACTTGGGTGACTGAGGCAGGAGGATCATTACCAAGTTTGAGGACAACCTGGGCTACACATAGTTTAAGGCTGGCCTGAATAACATGGCAAAACTTTATTTTAAAAAACAAAACAAAGGTTAGCTACAGATCATTCTTGTAAGGCCCAGAGGTGGCTATCCCAGTACTGGTTGTAATAAAAGTATTCCAAATAATGTGGTACCTCTGTTCATGAGTACCAAATCAATTTCCCTATAAGGTCAACATTGACACTAACCATTGAATTTGATTCAGTTGTCATCCAGTTTGGTTTGTGACCAGAATCATGGAAAGAATCAAGTCTGTGAACTGAGGTATCACTGTATACTTCTTTGTGGGGCATTACCATTTATAATCTGTTATTTTTGGAATAGACGGCTCTGATCCACAAGTACAGTAACAGAAATGGGTGGAACTAAAAAGACTTAAACAGAAAAACCAGAATTTAAGATATTGTCTGAATGGAATGTAATGAAGTAAATGGGAGCAAGAAAAGAGGAACTTTGCTTTAAGTTCTGATAAATTATTTTGCTTTAAACTTTTACCCTTCTGTAAAACTTAAGGAAATGTGAACTCAATTTTAGTTAAAATTGTGTGCCAGACACTGAGGATCTAAAATGAATCTATTATATCAGAGGTTACATGGTATTTATCCCTTCTGTATCTCTCACATACACTCTGAAAATGCAAATTAGAAAATTAATCTGAATCTTAATTCCAAAATTACCCTAAAATAAGATAAATTAAGAAATCTAACTTACAACTTCTAAACTCTTGATAATTTTTATTTGTATTTGGTACATACAGAGTAGCAATTCATGGCACTTGGATACTTGTTTAGATAGTTCATAAAGGCACTAAACGCTATTTTGAAAAGGATGTTCTCATAAAGAATTTACCAAGTTCAAGACAAGCCTTATTCAGCAAAATTGAATACTATTTATTTCCACAGTACTTTATAAATGGAATTTTCTTCGACTTGTATCCATTTCCCGGGGCTGAAAATTAGAAAAGAGAAGAAAATATAATGAACAACTTACTTAAGATCATAAAAACTAGCTTTTTTAGGTCTTTGTACTGAAAAACTGAGTTTGAGACCTAAAATAGTTTTAAGCCTTATTAAAGATGATGGATATTACAATTTTAAAATAAAAATGTTTTAAAACTGTATAAAACTGCTTAGTAGATGAGAAAGACTTTCTAAAAATCTTATAAAAAGTATATAGTACTGTTTAAAAGTATACTGCTTAGTAGATGGAAAACTTTCTATAAAAATGTTTCCTATATGATTTAAGATTATCCCCAGACTTGTATGAATCTTTTGTAGCAGTTCTTATGAAACACACAGTAGAATCACACTGGAAAAATGCATAGTGGGCCCCACCTCTAGGTGATTTAGTAGATATGAGGCCCAAGAATTTGCATTCCTATCAAGGTCCTAGGTGATGTTGCTAGTTCTACTTTAAGAACGTTATCACTACAAAAGATACTAATGTATGGGTGGTTATTTTTCAGTGAATTTAAACTATAACGTCTATTCAGGTTTAACTGCAGTGCTGGCACTTTATGAAAATAAGTGGATTCTGGGTTGTAGTTTGGGCATTCCTTGCCATCACTGTACTACCACACCAACAAGTTCTTTCTAGCTCAGAGGGAAGAAATTCACAAGTATACCTTAAGGTATAAATAACCCATGTTTTAAAAGCACATGGTTTTAACTTACATGCTTAAAAAAATTACTTAAATGGGTTTTCAAAGGGTAAGCACATACCTTATGGACCCATTCATACTCTCCATATTTAGAATCAAAGGTTCCTTTCTGAAGAGATCTTAATTTTAAGGTAAAACGTGGTCCCAGTTCTTGAATTCCCACTTTTTTTTCACTTTTGAATATGTACCTTCAAAGACAAGAGAGTTACTCATCTAGACCAATTTCCTTATAATACAGTAGAAAACAGGTTCACATTGAAAACATTTCATGATTCATATCAAAGTCCAATTAAGCAATTAAGGATGTTCCTCACCTATGAAATCTGAAGAAAATGTAATCCCGCTGATTGTGGAATGTAGCAACCTGTCTTCCAATAAATTGAGGATTATGAGGAAAAAGAGAAGCAAACATACGTCCAATTGAATGACCCAGCCTTGTTGTAAAATTATTCAGAATTATCTCAGGTATGTGCTCTGTTGGGTCTTTACCCCTTCTCTAGAAAAAAAAATGAAACCACAGTAATACATTAAGCTAATTGGTAAAACAATACCTCAGTGCAATTTCATAATTTATATGACAAAAAAACCCAATAGTTGCCACATGGTTTATTTAAACACAAAAGTACATTTTAATATGCAGTTATTACATCAGAAAGGTCCTAGAAAATATGATTTGTATGAGGACTACTGTCTGCCATAACAATCATAATCTCAAGAAAATAAAGTAGGTAAAACTAGCTTTAACTGGGAATAAATGTTTCTCAAATTGGTTTGCTCTATGACACAACTTATCAAGTAATGTGAGATCAGTACTAAAACTTACCTTAATTTCTTTTCGAAGACGAACACTGCTCATTTTAAAATGAGCGGTTGGACCATTTGGCAAGTGACTTAAAATAAGTCCATCTGTTCATTAAAGTTAAGATGCAGCAAACTGTATCTTAGCAGACCAGACACTTGTAAATCCTCTTGTTGAAATCAAGGATATTAGTATTTCTTAAGCTCTTACTCTTAGGTTTATTGTGCATCACAAGTTATAACCAATCAACCAATTAGTTGCTATTTATTTTCTAACATGAACAGAGAACTATGCTAGATACTAAACTACAAATGAATCAAACATACTACGAATTGGCAGCATCACTAGCCCAATGGTTCTAAAAGTCCCAGCTGCAGCAAACTTAAGATTACCACTTATACAACATTCCTCAAATCTTTATAGTACAACTTTTCTGTAACCTCTCCTTTTTCAATGAATGAATTCTGGGTATTGTTTAGTTGTACAGATAGGCAGCACTGATGGTAATGGACAAGAATTTCAATTTACAGCATGTTTTTTCAAACAACTGATTCTTCAGCCACTTAGCAAATAATACAGTATGACCTGTATTACTGCATGTTTTTCTGTTTTTATAACAATATGAAAATGATAATTTTATCAAATTTATCCAACTGATTGAATGACACCTGCTCAAGCAATACTTGGGGTACTGATTACCCCAAGGCTCAGGGTAAACTGTTAAGGGGTTAAAAACTGAACCTTACATGTTATGAAAATCAACACTGTCTCAGGTCTATTTACACAGAAATCTACAAAATACATGTGGCCATGTTTGGTTATCTTCAACTGCTCTCCTCCCTCCAAATCTTACATCTTTCACATAAGTTTTTTCTTCTACCACAGCATCTTAACTGTCTTGAGATCCTTGAAGTTTTCCATCTAGATTGTTAACAGTATCATGGTTGTTCCTACCTCCTCTATCTAGACTAAGTCTATTTCAATAATAACAAAAAGAGGTTGACAGCTTAATCAGGTGTTCAATTAATATATTGTAGGTAAAGACAGTTTTATATTTAAAAGAATGTAAGCTTTCTGAAGACTACAGATTGTATAAGCAAAATGTGTGTGCCTGTATAAAAATCTCAGTAAAACAATATTTTACTGAAATGATGACTGCCTACTTAGCAAAGAATTACTACCAACTTTTAATTGCCCAAAATAATAAGGCAAGCAGACCTTGACACTTACTCTTCTGGCACAATTAAAAAAAGGCAGCAAGTACTTTACAAGATCTTTTCTGGAATAGTGAATACAAAAGACTTTAGTTTGATATATTAATCTTGTTAAGCTAAATGATACTCAACGAAATACCACATTAAAAAGCTAGTTTTTGTCTATTTTAGTTTCCAGAAAACTACAAGTGAATAAATATACTTAAGTTGTAGTGGAAATAATAAAAGTCATAAAAAATGGATATTTAAAATGTAACCTTTTAAAATAATTTTAAATAGTGTTCAATGATAAAAGACATGTCTTGGTGACAAAACAGTCCCATTGTTCTCTTGCTAATCCTAATAATTTTGACTTAATCAGTTGGTCATCTTTAAATTACTGTATCACAGCCACTAGTTAATAAAATGAAAGTAAAAATAAATCTAGACATCCCTTGTCTCAAAACACAGTTTGGGCTCAGGTGATATATTTACCTTGAATTGATACTGAAATCTAAAAGACCACCATTATGTAGTATGGGCTTAGATTCTCACTTTAGACCCTTAATTCTGTGACAAGGGCTACGCAACATCTGACATAACCAGACCAAAACATGCAGATCCAACTGGGTTTGCCCTTTCATGCCACTCCCTCCCTAAATGACTGCCCTCTACACTAAATGCTCCTGTCTTGGCTTATTTACCTTACTCACTCCCTTGGGCCCACTTAAACATCTCTTTCTATGTGAAGTCCTTCCTGACATACTCAGGACAGAGTAGACGAACACAGGTTTATATTATACACTGTATTTCTTTAACTATCCCACACTATGTTTTATTAGTTTATACGTCTGTTTACTCTGAATTCCCTAAAGGCCATCTGTTTCATTCTGCATCCTTCAAAATGATTAAAACAATATCTTAGCTCTAACAGGTTGCCTCCTAAAAATGTGTACTGAATAAAAAGGAAAAAAATCAGTTTATAGAATCTTGTATAGAAATAGGTATTGTTGTTGTTGTTTTGGTACTAGGGATCAAACTCAGGACCTCGTGCTTGCCAGGCAGGCACTTAGGCCACTGAGCTAAATCCCCAGCCCCCGAAATAGGTATTTTTGAAGAAAATAATGTTCTGGGAGTTATAGGGAACATTTCCTTATTTTTTAAAATAAGGGATGAGGGAAGGAATACAAAAACTTCTTAAAACGAAAAGGATACTTGGTGTTTTACGATCTTCATTAATCACCATTAGATCTGTGAAATCTCTTGAGATGCACTGTGGAATAATTTTTTTCAGAGCCAGTCCTCTTCTATAATAAACATGTGAGTTGGGTATAACTGTTGAGAGCTGCTGACAGAGTTTTACTGTTCTCTGTAAAACAAAATAATAAAAATTCTCAAAAGTGAAAAAGAATAAAATACTACATGGCTTATATTCATAAAGAAATGACTGCTGGCAAGTTTGGGTAATAGGAAGACTGGGGAAAAATGAAAATTATGTTTCATCTTTTATCAAAGGCTGATCATCTTAAAGCTGAGTGATTCTCAACACTTTTGCTCCACCAAGAGACATCTGGCAACATGTAGGATACTTCTGCGATTACTAATGGAAAGAGGCTGGGGATGCTGCGAACCATCCTATGATGAATTGGATTAGCTCATCATAATAAAGGACTACCCAGCCTACAATGTTAATAATGCTGAGCCCAAGAAACTCTTATCTTGAGGAATCATGCTTAATGAACCTCTTCAACATCAATAGTTGATTTTTATTTAGCTTATTCACAGGCATTAAAGCAATTTAACTCTTCTGAACACATTAACTGAAACATCAGAATAAAAGGTAATTAAAAAATTCAAGAACTATACTTAAAAATTCAAGAACTAATCTATGTATTTTACCCCATGGGGTCTATCTGATGTGGTGATGAGAATCTTGGGAGAAGTTTCTCTGTTGAAGTAAGGAGCAAATTCATCTGTAGCTTCATCATAAGCAACCTGAAAACAGAGAAGATGTTAATTTTACATCAAACAAATATTGTACTGGGTCAGACTATTGACACTACCTAGCTGACAGGATCTGAAGACTGAGGAGAGACTAATGTTAGTGGCTACCTGAAGAGGTGGGATGCTTTTTCCTTTAGAACACAACAATAAAACTAGATAAAACCAATAATCATTTCAGTGCATAAACAGACATGTTTATTCTTGAAAAATGGCTATAAAATAGGCAAGAATATTAGGAATTATCTTGGTCAGTGAAAATACTTTTATTAACTTCAATATGATGGTAGGTAAGAAGTAACCATCTTGGATTTGGAGGTGGTAGACTGAACTAAGGGAAGAGTTAGTCAGGTGTAATTAAAACCACACAGGTTTGAAAAGACCATTCAGGGTAAGTATGGACCTGCTGAAAATTTAAAGGGGTTCTCTGTAAATCAGACCCATGATCTCCCCACAAATCCATGGCTGACAACTAACTTTACACATGTGTTGGAGAAGTCCTGAAAATGCACTGAATGTGAAAGGCAAGGGAGACTTGAGAACTGGCTGTAACTAGAAAGGCACTCCTCAATCCACACACAGCTCAGCTGGCATGGATGTCTGAGGGGCTTGAGGTAGCTCAACAGTCTGCCTAATCACTGAGTGAGCATTAATCCACACATACAGGAACAATCCCTAGGCAGCTTAGTTAAAATTTTAAAACTGCGTGGAGTCACAGTGCTATTGTCAGGGAGACAGGGTACATAGTTTAAGTCCACATAAACTACTAATGCAACAAAAACTCTTACAAAATAAAGGAGAATCCAGAGATGCTGCAAAATGATATTTAAAATGTCTGATTTTCAAACAATTATTAGGTTTATCAGAAACAAAAAAGCATAATACATAATCAGGGAAAAGTAGTCAATACCTGCTAAATGGGTCCAGATGTTGAATTTAGCAGACTTCAAAGGAGCACTAATTAATATATACAACTATTTAAAGGAAATATGGACTAAATAGTCAATCTGGCATGGTAGAAAAACAGTAAACCTGAAAATTGAATGCTTATGATCTAGACTAAACAAAATAATCATAGAAAGTACAGCAAACTGGAGAAACCTGTAAGATGATGTCAAACATTTTGACAGTATGTATAAAAGAGCTCCCAGAAAAAGACAGGAGCAGAAAAATATTTGAAGAAATAATGGCCGACAACACCATAAGTAAGGAAAACATTAACAGATCTACGAAGCTGAGCAAATCCCAAGTAGGATTTAAAAAAAAGAACAATACTTAAACACATTAATGTCAAACTGCTAAAAGCCAAAACCAGGAAAAGTTTAAGTAAAAGGAACAATGATACAAGTGGAAATACTGAAAGTTTAAAATGCAGTGGAATGGTATGTTCAAAGTATTAAAAAAAAGTGCCAAATATTTTTCTATTCTGTAAAATTTTTAAAATGAAGGCAAAAAGGCATATTTTCAGATAAATAGCACTGAGATAATTAGCAGCTATTAAACCTGTCAAAAACAAGAAACTAAAGGAAGTCCTACCAACAAAGAAAATGACATTTGATCGTAACAGACCAGAAAAGTGCTGTATATAGTAAGTACATAGGTTCATAAAACTGTGTACTTACACTCTTTAATTTCTTTGCAAAATTTCAGGTTGTTTTAAAGCAGTAATTATAACACGAGGAATATGTAAAATAGCATGAAGGAGGTGGAGGAAACAAAGCTATATTACTGCAAGCCTATTGTATTGTACTAGATTGCATCAGTGTTTGTTTTAGTAAGACTTTTTAATAAAAATTAATGTTGTAATGTTTTTGTCAGTGCTGGGGATCGAACATAGGACAAGCAGCTATCTACCACTGAGGCAAACTTCCAACTCTGATGCATATTGTAATTCTACAAGAAACCACTAAAAAATACAATTAGCTTTAAAAATGGTATACTAGAAAATTCTCAAAAAGAAAGTAAAAAATCAAAGAGAAAGAAGTTAAAGATTTGCTAGAAAAAAAGCAAAATAAATCCAACTACATCAATAATTAACATTAAATACGTCAGACTGAATATAAGATCCAGCTATCTGATCTCCAAAGGTGATACATTTAAAACTCAGTCATAAATACACTGAATGTAAAATCATGAAAATGTACCATGCAAACAGTACTTATGAAGACAGTTTAAGTGGCTGTATGACAAAACAAACATTAAGAAATACAGCTAGAACTGCAGTGCTGAACTGACACGTGTTCTTTTCAGACAATAATGTTAATGTATGAGTTGTTTTTTCTAAACCACAACTTCAGTATTCCAGTTTAACTGCAGTATTGTCATTTTGTGATAAATAAGTGGGTTTTGGATTGCAGTTTGGCACTGCATCTCTAAAAGACTCGCCATCACTGTGCTAGAGACAATGAGGGATATTTTAAATTGGATTAAGGTTCAGTATACCAGAAAGATGTGAATATATATTTATGTAATTTACATAAAAACATAACTACAAATATATTACATACCTATCAAAAGTACTCTGAAAAAGACAAAAGCAAAAAAAACCCTCAAAATATATAAGAAATAAGACAATTGAGCATCTATAGGTAAAAACTTCAATGCTTTGCTTTCAGTAACTAATACAACTAGATGTAAACCACACTATCAACCAACTTGAACCAACTCATATGTAATAATCCAACTCAGGCAGACAGAATACATATTTTTCAAGGGCTATGTAAAACATTCTCTAAATTAGACCATATACTAAGACACATAACAGTCTGCTTTAATTGAAAAAGACAGACATTAAAGTATGTTCCACAACTACAAAATAAAATTAGAAATTAGCAATAAAGCAATCTGGAAAATTCTCAAAAACCTGTAAATTAAGGAACACATTTAATTGATAAGCCAAGGAAGAAGTCACAAGAGAAATTACAAAATACCTTGAATGGAATGAAAATAAAGACACAACAAACATACCAAAATTTATAGACTATAGTTAAAGCAATGATGAGTAAAAATCAGAGCCTTAAACTGTTATATTAAAAAGAGAAGTCTAAAAGTGATAATCTAAGCTTCTATCTTAAAAAGTTGGGGGAGGGGACACAAAACTTACGCAGAAGAAATAATGAACACTGAGGGAAGAGCAATGAACTAAAATATACTGGTGGGACATGGGAGTTTGACAAATGTGTAATGACATACAATTACATAGAAGAAATCAGTTATAATATGCTATGGCAGAGTAGGGTAAATATAGAATTAGAAAATAAGGATTTATCAGAGCAGATTAAAGAAAAAAGTACTTTGAAAAGAATACAAAATACAGTACATGTATCTCTGGTAAAACTTCCATATATATAATATTAGGAATAAAAAGGAGACATTCTTATCTTATTTCTGTATATTGTATATGGTTTTTAATACTTTGGTTAGAATTAATGTATGTTTGTGTTCATGAGTGAGACTATAAGAATGTATCCTTTTAATGGTAAAACAAAACATAATAAATGGAATTTTCTTAACCCATAAGGAGAATGTATCACTAATGACATAAACATTAAAGATGATGGGTCAAAAGTATCTTTTTGAAATCAGATGCATGGCAAAGATAACATTATTGATTTTTCTATTTATTTCTCATTATGTTAGATATTCTAATCAAAACAAGCGAGAAAAATAAAGCATTAAATCACTGAAATAAATGTCATTTGTTGGAATTATTATCTAACATAAAAATGAAAATAATACTCAGATATATTGTTAGAAATTAGTTTAGGTCAACTCTGGCTAGAAGTCTAAAAATCAACTGCAATTTCATAAAATAGCAAACAAAACCATTTACACAGAAGCAACACACTAACAGAAAGCCTAAGATACTTGGGAATAGCTCTAACAATATTGGTTTGTAAAATCACACGTATGAAGAAAATTATACAAAGTATTGAATATATTTTCAGTATCTAAAAAAAGATATAAGTAAAGCAATCTGATCTACTTTAGTGCCATTTACAGTTTTTATGGAAAAAAAAAAAAGAAAAACCACCACCAACAACAAAACTCCAATCCTTATGGAGTTTTGTAAAAGTATAGGCCTAGAAAAATCCAGAACAATTTTGATGAAGAGATGGGTGGAGGCGAGTGAGAGACGACACATCTTTATAGATACTGAGACTTGAGAAGTCATATAATTAAGGAAATGATGTAGTGATAAACTGATGAATCACACAGCCCCAACACCCAAATACATATGGTTACTTGATATATGACACAGTATTATAAGGATACTATGGGGGAATGTTTTACTGCTCTAAAACTGGTGATGGGAAAAGTGATTATATACATCTATATGCAAGTGGTTAAGATAGGAAATTAAGTAACTGAGTTTTCTTTCTCATATCAAATAGAAAATCGCTAATAAGTAAATGAATGTGAAAGGCAACTCTTTTGGGGAAGACGAAGACTTAAGGTCATGAGATAAAGATTTCTTGAATCAGCCATAAATTACATTAAATATTAAAATGTTTTAAAATTTGAACTGTGTTAATGTATTAAATTTCCAGTCACTGAGACACTAGGTTTAATTAGACTCACAATTTCAGGGGTTCAGTTCATGATGACCTGGCCTGCTTAGTTCATGGTGGCTGGGAGGCAGGATGGGGGACAGTGCTGAAAAAGGCCAAGGGACCAAATAAAGGCTCCAAGATCATGCTTCCCTGACTGACCAGACATATCCAGAAGTATGCTTTATTAATCTGGAAGACCCTCAAACCAAGCAAGTGGGTAATCTAACTTACTGGTCACAGTTAAGACCTTCTGTCCCTGCAAAGATACTACAGAAAGTAGAGAATTCATAAACTAGTTTTGGTTTTTTGAGATAGTGTTTCACTATTTAGTTCAGGCTGGCCTTGAACTCACGGTGATCTTTTTGCTTCAGCTTCCCAAGTGCTGGGATTACAGGTGTGTGCCACCATGCCTGCCTAAGAATGCATAAATTGAAAGAGTCCTCAACACATATAAAAATTAGTATCCAAATTATAAGGGAAATGTGTACAAATCAGTAAAATACACTATATGATAGAAAATTAAGCAAAAGACAGGAATATTATATCTCTAAAAGAAAACAGTACACATGTGTAAAGATATTCAACCACATTAACAAACAGGGAAATATAAATTAAATCATGATGAGACAACTCTGTCACTAATGTGAATATAATAACAGTCAGAAAGTAGATGAATAAAAATATTGCTCTAGTACTATGGCAAATAAAATAATCCAAACACTTTGGAAAAGATTTTGGTACTCATCTGTTAAGCCGAATATTTGCTCATCCCCAACAAATTCTCCCATTGGTAAAAATTCTAGGAAAATTTTTACATACATGTACACTTTGTATATATCTACAGTCTCCAAATTTGTCACCTGTGAAGATCTGTTTATATTCCAAACTCATAGCTCAGCTGCCTGTCTTTTCTAAAAATTCTTAGAAATCACCTCAAACAGCACATCCAAAACTGAACTCTTGATTTCCTCTTTAAATCTGCTTCATATCTAGGTAACTGACAATTCCATTCTTTTAATTGCTTAGGCTAACTCTGGTACCATGTTTGAATCCTCATTTTCGTATCCCACAACCAATCTATCAGGAAATTCTGGTACCGTGAATTTCAAATACCTAGGAATAAAAATAAAATCCAATGAAATCAGTTTTTACCATTTTCATTGTATCTACTCTACTCAAGTACTCATCATAATCTCTGTCCTGCAAATCATAGATTCCTAACTAGTCTGCTTACCGGCTCTAATTATATTCTCAGTATAGTATGTACTCACATTTAAAAACTGTCTGATCACATCAGATGCAAAACCAAACTCCTCACAATGGCCAATAAGATTGTATTTTCCTGGTACCTATTCTACAATTATCCCCTACTCATTTTAGTCACGCTGGCCTCATTCTTCAAAAGCTAGGAGGCACAATCCTGCCAGAGGGTTTTTGCAGTAGGTATTTTCTTAACTCAAGATGGCTCACTTCCTATTATCTTTTAAATTTTTGTCAAAGGTCATCTTTTCAATGAGACTTATCCTGACCATCCTATATAAAAGTAACCCAGCAACAGAAAAATGAGATACAAATCAAATAATTGATTAGGAAAGAAAAGGACAAGGGGGGAAAAAGATGCTCAACTCATTCATAACAAGAAAATTGCTGATTAAAGATACAATTTCTCTACTATCAACTGGAAATACACCTTAATCAAGTAATCAAAGTTAACACAAACAGAAATAGGAACATCAACATCATGTGGTTCCTAGTAAGAGGCACTTAAAAGTTTTTATAACACACCTGCTGTATTCCTCTAGATGCAAGACCAATGGTACCTAAATTGAATATAATCAGAGGAAACATCAGAGAAACTCACACAAGGGACATTCTACAGAATATTTAGTTTATACTCTTAAAAAAATTGTTAGTGTCATGAAAAGCTAATAAACTGAAGCATTCAAGATAAAGGAAGCTGGAGTCATGAGGATGGAATGAAATGACCTAGAACTTTTCTTTTGTTAAAAAGAAATATTACTGGTGACATCTGAATAAGATATAGCTTAGGTAATACTGTGTATCAACGTCTGATTCTGTTGTCTGATGTTGTCTGATTTTGAGTGTGGTACAATATAATATTTTGGAAACTTAGGTTAAAGATGTATGTGAATTACTTTTTTATTAAATCTGAAAATACATCAAAACAAAATCAAAATGTACCCACATACATACACATTACCATATATATACATATATAAAACTGCAAATCCTCTCTTACTTCAAATAGTCCTAAATTTTCTCTACTCCTTTAAAGTAGTACCTGCTAGCAGGACTAACTTATTTTACTGTGTTTATTTTCTCCCTCTCCTTTTCTCTCTCCCTCCTCTTCTGTATGCACGTGGGTATGTGTGTCTATAAGAAAGAGACAGTGTATGTGTTTGGTCCACTGATGAATCTTGAGTCTTTGAAATAGATACCAATATATAAATCAAATAGATACCAATATATAATAAACAATTAATAAACATTTGTTAGAAGACTGACTGCCTGAAGAAACAACTGTACTAGAAGATATGTAAAACAATATTGGCAGCAGTTATTGTTTCAAAATAAACAAATATTACAAAACCAAGTTTCCATTATGAAAACTTTTAAAATATTGAAACTATAAAGCCTTGATTTATTATAATCTTGCAAACCATTTTAGGAGAACACATTCAGAGTGGATTATCTTGAGACCAAGAGTTTTAGGTATAAATTGTCATTAGACATTAAAATACCTAACAAATGCTACAAAAATCTGCATTAAAAAGGATTCTTTTTAAAATATTAAACAGAATTCAGAGATTAAATGACAAATGTAAAAGTTTATCTAGTCATAGCAGTCAATGCATTGGTAGAAAGTGCTTACTGTATTTTTCTACAGTATTATTGGACAAATCAATTATGAAATAATGTGGCAAATATATTATGCCATCAAACATTATTGCTGGATCTATGGTACATTACATAACGCTGCCAGGCAGCACAGTTAACATATCAGCATGTAACTTTATCAAGGATGACTATTCAAATTCACTTAAGACTTCTAACATTACCTCTTCATCATTAGGGTCTACTGTAGTTTCATCATAGACTCGTTGGTTGTCAATGGTCTTAGGTATAGGTTTTGGTGGAGCCTAAATAAAAGAAAAAGATAGTTTTTAAAAGCATTTTACATTAGTGATTTACAATATAGTTGGGGGAAAAACAAATCTACCACTACCTCCTAAACATAATCTGTTCCTTATTTCAACTCATTCTACTGCTATTGTTCCAACAATCCTGATTGAAAAAAAAACTGAATACTGCTTTTTAATAATCTGAGAAGAGACATATAATACATATTGGAAGAATAGCTAATTAAACAGCTTAAAACTAGCTAGAAGCACTAATCCAAGTAGTTATCAAAATAATTATCCATCACAGAGGAAAACAAAGTAAGAAAGCAAACAACTGAATGGGAAAAAAAATTACAAAAGTCTATATATTAGACTTTATTTCTGTACTTCCAGAAAGTTATTTAGAAACATAAAAGTATATTCACTAATCTGACTTCATAATTCTACTTTGGTTTGGAGAATTTACGGTAAGTAATGGTGGGTGATAGGGTAACACTATCTTTACAAAGAAACACGTGGTATCACTATTAATAATGAAAATAAACAGCAAATATCTAACAACAGTATAAAGATTAAGCACCTTATAGCATCAACAAAATGGGACAGTGTTAAAATCAGCAGTCAGGTATACTCAGTTTAAAACAAGAAACGAAAAATGACTTGCAAGCAGCAAGAACAGAACTGTAAGAACACAATAACCAAAACTAATTCACAATACATGTATGCTTGCAAGGATATGTGGAAAGTATTAACCAATAAACTATTTTGGATTTTTTTTTACTCTATGAAACAAGTTTTGTAGTTTTCCAGTCTAAAAAATAAGAATTGTGATATCTTAAAATGGTGATTAATAGCATATTAATTTCCTGTGACTACTGAAGAATTTCAAAGATACTAATATTGCTTGATATATCAGAATTTTACAGGTCAAAATAGTCTTTACTGGGGCCAGGGATGTGTAGCTCAGTGGCACAGATCTTGCCTGGCAAGCGTGAGGCCCTGGGTTTGATTCTTGGTACAACAAACAAACAAACAAACAAAAAATACTGACAATTTCATACAGTTTAATCTAATACCATTAAGAGAATGCCTGAAAAAGCAGAATATTCACTTTGTTTATATTATTAATATTTTTCTCTTTCTTGAAAAACTTTATTCTTACTTGGTACCTGTTAATGATTTGTGTCTAGATGTCCCTCCAAAGCCTCATACAGTTTTTAGATGGGGCTTTTTCAGAGGTGGCTGATTCCAGAGTGTATGACTGATTCATGGTTTAGTGCTGGGATTAAGGGTGAATGATTGCTGGATCAGTCCACTGACTGGATTGGCACCGCCCTAATCCTGATACTGTGGATAAAATGAAAGAGGCAGAAAGATGCTGTAAACTCCATTGTTGCTTTTGCTGTCTTCTAGCGCCGTGACTGCTGCCCCTCTGCTATGTGCCATCTTCCTTGGAGCCAGCCAACAATGGACTGAAACCTCTACAAACTAAGATAAATAAACCTTTCCTCCATAACTTTGAGTGTTGGGTATTTTGTCTCAGCAACAGAATAAAGTAACTAAGATAGTACCTTTTAACAGTAAGAATGGAAGCAGTGATATGTTTTTAAAATTTCCCAAGCACAAATCATAACCAAGGAAATACTATGTATAAGTAAAATGAAGCTAAAGAAAATAATTTAGCTGTGCAACAATGTAGGAATACTTGGTAGCTCTTTTTATATTTTTAAGTAGAAAGATTCCACTCGCTTATCAACACAAAAATAGCCAAAACCTTTCTTGATGCATTCTTTCTTTGCCATACTCTATCCAGGCAGGTCTTGCCCTACTGCCACTCTTCACAGGTTTCTACCCTCTCCTTTGGCTCTCTTAATCACGTGACTCCACTTCACATAGAAGAGGCCCTGTCCTGCCTTTAGGCAGCCTTGTCTGACAAAGCCTAACTTCAACCAGGGGAGCTAAAGTCTTTTATCCTAACCTGGATAATTTCCCTTCAAAATTAAGAGGTTTCTCTGCCTTTTAAGCATATAAAACACCATCATTACGCTTTTTGTTTAGATATGGCACCATACACAGTAATGGTATAAAGAAGCACCTGGGAAAAATAAAACAATTTCATGAGTGTTACTTTTAGAGGGGGAACATGAGCAAAGAAGCAGGCAAAGGGGTTTCAACATTTTATGTTAAGCAGCGTAAAAAAGACAGAAAGATATTTTTTGTACTTTCTTATATATCTGAAATATTTCATAAATTTTAGAGACGTAATCACTGTAACATTATTTAGTATAGGAAAGTAGATGACTAAAGTTTTTATTTACCTTATCACCAAGAGCGTCTCTCTCTTTTTTAAGTTTTTTCTTAGCAGCCAACTTTTCCTAAAGGGTTAAAAACAAAAGAACACTATTGAAAAACCACTAGTTATGTCAGGAACACACTGATATTATAAATGACTAATTCTATGAACATTTTAACTGGGAAATGGCATACTAAAGTAATCAAACATTTTTATAATTAAGTAACTAAGTCAAATCAACATGACTTAACACACTTCACTTCTTCAAAGTCTAAACTGGCAAGGTGAGCATTTAGAATACCCTTATTTTTAACTTTTGCTATAATAATTCAAGTTAAAATTATTCAAAGTGCAAAACGCACATCTAAACAAGTAAACAAGTTTTGGTTTTCTTAAACAGTTTCATCCTAATGGTCATAGTTATGCTAGTTGTTTCTCTTGGAACGCACTCAGATAAACAGAAAAAGGAAATGAGTTTTTAGGTCATTCCAAAAAAACCTTATTTTTTTTCTGATGCTCATATTTTATAATCAAAATATGCTTTTAAAATTCGTGACAACTCACAAAGTTAGGATTATTTATTATAAATATGTATCTTCTGTTTTCTAGACAGAGTACTAGATACAAAATAAAAAATATTTTTTTCCAATAACTTCTAACCCTCAGCCATCAGGTTTTTGGTTTGAAACCAAAAAACAAGTAGTCTACGACACCTCTCCCTTATACTTGCACATCAGATGTGTTACACGGCCCTTTTATGTATTTCAGTAGTTCTCTGGCACTTAGAATGAATCAAGAAACAGTCCAGGGTTCCAAAAATTCTAGTAAGAAGAGGCAAGTATTATAGGTGAACTTCTGTAACATGCAGAAACACATGCTTTCTTCCAGTAGCAATCTAACTACAAAAGAGTACTATGACCTGAGATAAGTCGTTTTAAACCTAATTTGTTGTTTGCCTCCTATAACAGTATGAATATAATTACTAGAAACTTAACAGTACTGACGTCAGTAAGTGTTACTGCAGGAAAAGGCTGCATTATCTGTTATGTATTGCCTGTACCACATGTTCCCTAAGTTCATCAAATCTGGATACGGTTCGTACAACAGAGGAGTTGAGATTTTAGGGTAATTCTCACTAAGAGAACAAGATTTCTAGCTTTCTGAGTGGACGGCTCTGGGCGTTGGAAAGGAAGGGAACCCTTCGCCTTGACGATCAGGCTCCACTAAGTCTCCAAGGCAGATTGAGAATCAGGAGCCGTGAGCCAGGAGATTACACTTCCTGACGAACTTTCCTGCGCACTTTGCGCAGGTGGAGGATCCTGGCTAAACACCCCAAGCTCTGACAACTCCCAATCCTCTTCCACGCCAAAGACTAGCGCATGCGCCCGCTCACCCCGGCCCCTCGCATACCTTCCGCTGTTGCTGTTTCCACCGTGTGAACATTAAGTGTCGCCGCTGCTTGTTCTTAATTTCCGAAATACTGAAGCCTGGGGGGAAGGCAGTGGCTTTCGGAGGTTGGACCCCGCCTTGCGTCGCTCCATCTCCGGTGACCGTACCCTCTTCAGGCTCTTCCACAGTAGCTTTCCTTTTCAAGGTTTTCTTCCCGCTGCCGCCACTCTTTTCTCCGGTCTTCGCCATGTTGTTTGCCCCGGCGCATCTACACGGAAACGGAAATAGTTTTTTCTTGAGTCCTTTTTCTTCCTTTTTACTTCCGGGGTTATGAAGGTCCTAAAGAAAACAGGCTGAAGCCTGTGAGCTGCGGGCAATAAGGAAGTACCAAAGTTGAAGCATAAGTATATGCAAACCTACGTACTTGTATGAATGAGTTCATGGGCTCTTTCGTTACTTGTCGCTGTGTCCTAAACTCTGAAAATTATAGGACAAAACAACCTATGCCCTATTTACATTTTTTTAGAAGTATATATGCCCGGCGGTGGTGGCGCATGCCTGTAATTTCAGCAATTGGGCATCAGTGAGTGTGGATGGATACATGGGAAAGGGATGATTAACAATGACTAAACTATGGAAAAATCCTTCATGAAGAGAAAAGGAGGACCGAGCAAAGAAGAATGAGACAAGAAAACCAAGAGTGAAAAAAGGACCCGGCAAAGGAGAATGGGAAAACCAAGAGTTAAGTGTCATGAAATTCAAGTGAGGAAACATTTCCGCAAAGGTTAAATTTGCTGTACTCTTCACTTTAATTTTGTGAAAATGACTTCCAGCGACAAAAGTCCAGTTTGGTTTATTGTTAGTCAATTTTCTAGATATTTCAAATTTTATCTTCTGGTATCTATTTTAATCTAATACTTCGATATATTCAAGCTTGTCTCTCACTCATTCATGTTTCTTGTTTTTAATATTCAGGACATCAAAAGCATCAAAGCTATATTCCATAGTAGAAGCTCCATCTTTACCTGCTATTAGGTCACAAGACAAAATTGCGATTAAATAAAACTGTGATATTTGAATCCAAAATTGAATTTGAATTATGTAATAAAATAAAAAGAGGAAAATAGTATTGTTTTAAAACCACTGACATGTGAGTTGGCTGCAATAAATCATAGTTTCATATTTTACTTAAAGAGGGATAATCGGCCAAAAAAACCCCCAAAAAACAAAAATATGAGATGTAGAAGAGGAAGAGACAACATCATTTGAAAACTATAACGTTAAATACTAACCTAAACCATTTTCCATACTGGAAGCATAAATTTGATCTAAAGCGACCTTTATAGTGAACTGCATTCTAGTTTGATTCATGAACAAACTGTAACCTATGAGTACACACTTGAAACCAAACAACTAAGTTATAGCAACTGAACTTCAGCCAGTCAGAAGCTTACAAATCAATAACATGACCATAAAAATAAGGTAAATGACAACTGCAACCAGTCAGGTTCTTTTGGCATTGAGACTGCTTTTCCTCTGGCTGTAAAACTAATCTGTGCATGTGGTCGGTTGGAGCTTTCTGAACCAACTTCCCTTTGGGATGCAGCCTCAGTGTAGAAGCTTTTCCTTACTCAAACTTTATTACATTGAGCTGTTTCCATTTTTAACGAGCCTGGATATTTTATCTCTTTACATATATGTTTTCCTTATAAGAATACTATCCTGAAATAGATTTATGTAACTTTTAAATTATTCAGGGTGCCTTACTAATGAGACCATGTCTTAATATAGACATTTTCCTTTTGTTCCTCACATGCTATTTATAGTCACAATTGTGTGCATTGAATGAGAGGATTTCTATGACCAGAATAAAATCTTTATTCTGACAAAGTCACAAAATCATCAATTTAGCAAATATATATTTAATTTTATTTGTTACAGTTTAGTTCTGGAGTGTCTCCCAAAACCTTGAGGCTCTACTTGGTGCAAATGGAAAATGAGAGAGTCTTTAAGACTTGGGGACTGGGCCCTAGGCAAACCATTTAGAGCTTTCAGTGATAACAAACAGCCAGCTGCTGCATGTGTATGCCATAGGTTTACCACCACTGGCCTAGGGAGAGGGTTTTTTTAGGTCGTCTTCTGAGTGGGATAGTGGGACCCTGGTCTCTTTCTCTTGTTTCCCAGCAATGAGGTGAGCAGTTTTACTTTGCAATCCACTACTCACCTTGCTATCTGGCATTTCCCCAAAGGCATAAAAGCACAGGTCCACCTGATCATGGACTAGAGCCTCTGAAACAATTAATGAAAACAAACATTTTCTCTTTTTACATTGGTTATCTTAAATATTTGTTAGAAGGCTAATTAATACACTACTCAATAGATACATAGGGTGAGTGGGAATGATGGAAACAGTGAATCAGATATATGGTCAAACTTGATCTTAGTTACTTAGCTGTTATAAAATCTCAGCTAAGTTGCCTTATATCTCTGTGAGATAACGTGAAAACGGGCAAATTATGCTACCAATAGATAAGTAAAAGTAATGTATATTAAAGAAATAATCTGAAAATGGGTGGATTATGCTACCACATTTATGATACAGAGAGAAGTAAAAATATGTTAAAGAATTAGACATAGTTAATAGCTAGCTGGGTTGTTATTTCTAAGGTGTCAGAGGTGCTAAACATTGTGGAGGCAAAAGACATTATGTTTATATTAAGTAGTTCAGAAAAAGAAACATAGATCTGGTATGTCAAATGTTGACTAAAGATCAGTGTTGATTGTTTCATCAGACTGATTTCAACTATTTTCTCTAATTACTTCATTATTCATTATCTTCAAGGGCCATTCTTAACAGAATACATGTTATTTTTAAAATAAAATATTTTGAACATTTCCTAATTTTTTTCCTTTTATTAGTTTTTTTTTTAACCTATTTGTTTTGCTTCTGACATATTATGCACTATAGACTCTGGAATACAACTTTTAGGCAGATGAATTCACTAATATAAAGTAAGATCAAAATATTTGTTCTCTTTTATTACAGATGAAATGTTTACTAGGAAAAAATAATTCCAATTTATTATATAAAGTGTCAGTTGATTAAAAGTGAAAATGAACAAATTATTATAAAAAGTAAAGATTACTATGATTACAAGCCAAAGAAAAAAATTTAAAAAGTCAGTTTAAAACCATCTTCCATACAGACATAAATTTAAAAATATAAAATAAAATATCAAATCCAATAATATTGAATTTGTCTAAGACAGTTTGTCTCAAATATGTAAGACTGGTTAATGTTTCAAAAATGTTTTATATAGTGTGATAAATATTTTATGTCAGTGCCACAAATATAAAATTGCTGTCAATTTAAAGTTATCTATGCATGTTATAATAGTTTTATTGTATTCTAGAAACTGTCAAGTGAGCTAAGAAACACATTTAAATTATTACTTAAGTTCTTTATATCAACAGAAAACTCCAAAGGCATATATGAATCTGTTGCATGTTAGTAAGAAATAATCGATTTTGAAGTTGGCAGATTGTAAGTTTATAGCATAGTACTGTCATCCTTTGGCAAATGTAAATTAAACCAATGCTTTTTGAACTTGAATTGTGTCATATAGTTTATTGGTAAGAACAATAGAACAATTCTAGAACTCACCACTTATCCATTGATGTTTCACTGGAGCCCAAGAATATATACAATGAGTAAAAGCTAGACTCTTCAAAAGATAGCATTGGGGAGACTGGATAGCCATATGCAAAAGAATGACCTTTATCATAAATAAAAATCAACTCAAAATGGATTTAAAAGGTAAATGTAAGATCTTAAATTATGAAATTCTTAAAAAATAGCTTAAAAGCACCTTGACATTAATCTTGGCAATATATAGGAAACCAAAAGTACAGTAACAAAAGCAAAAATAAGTAGGATTACATCAAAAATGAGGACAAACATCTTCCCCCAAAAAAGAAAAACATCAACATCCAAAGGTAACCAAAAGAGCAACTGTGTTTGTAAATCTGCTACTTGATAAGGAATTCATACTACTCAATAGAAGTAACCTGAGTAAAAAAGAGGGCAAAGGACCTACACAGATATTTTGCCAAATGAGGCTTACACATGCACATTAATCATCAAGTAAGTACACATTAATCATCAAAGTAGTACACATAATGAGATATTATCTCATTTGTTAAGAATGCTAACATTTAGTAAAAGGATAACAAGTGTTGGCAAGGATGTAGAGAAAAGAGAGTCCAGGTTTTGGGAAATGAAAAATCGGTTTAATTGCTACAGGAAACAGTATAGACATCCCTTTAAAAAATTGAAGATAAAACTACATTATGACTCAGCATTTCCACTTAGAAATAATTTATCTGAAGGAATAGAAATCAAGATCTTAAACAGATACCTAAATTCTCATGTTCATTGCAACATTATTCAAAATAACAAGTATGAAAACAATTTAAATGGCTATCTATGAATGGAGAAAGTAAGTACTATATGCATACAATGGATATTGTTCAGCCTTGAAAAGGAAGAAAATATTGCCATGTATGAGAATGTGGATGACCTAGAGAACATTAGACTAAGTGAAATAAGCCAAACACAGAAAATAAGTATTATAGTAGTTCACTTATATGTGAAATCTAAAATAAACTCAGAAGTAGAATGGTAGTAATCAGAGACTGAGGGTAGGGAGGATGCAAATGTGTTGATCAAAGAGCATTTAGTTAGCTTTCTGTTATTGTACCTAAATACTGAACCTGAGATAACTAGAAAAGAGGACAGGTTTATTGTGGCTCACTGTTTCAGAGGTTCCCGGATATACATAATCAGTTGACCCCATGATTCTGGGCTGTAGTGAGGCAGTATATCATGGCCAGGAGTGCATGGTGAAGCAAATGTCTTACTTCATAGCTACTGGGAAGAGGAAAAGAGAGGAAAGGGCTAGTATTCCAATATTCCTTTCAAGGCCTTATCTCTGGTGACCTAACTTCCTCCTACTAATCCCAACTTCTAAAACATTATGCTGCTTCTCAATAGCACTACATTATGGCGACCAAACCCTTAACAAGTAGGGTTTGTGGTGTATAAATAAATAAAATCTGAGACATATACTCTGCCAAGGTTTGGATATTGTATAGTACAATAATTATAGTACAGTAATAATACTGTACTGTATACTTCAAATTTTCTGAATACTCCCAATATATACATACAGGGTAACTGTGAATGACAGGTACATGAATTGGCTTGATTATGGTGATTAT